AAAAAAAAAAAAAACTATTAGTATATCAAATAATAAGAATGTTTAGTTAAAACTAAATTGAAGTAATTGGTTGATGCATTAAAAAAAAAAAAGCATTGAATGAGAAGGATGAAGAGAAAGAAGATGATGGATTGTCAAAAAAATGATAATGGAATAAGTATAAATGAATAATGAAATAAAAGTAGAGATATTTGCAAAAATACAAATGGGAGAATATAAAAGATGAAAGAAGAAAAGAAAATGGAAATTAAAATGAGAAGAACTTGAAAGAAAAAATAGGATATTTTATCTGTGGAAAAGAATGAGAAGTGGAGAGAAAATCGAAGATGAAAAGGAGAAGGCAATAGGATGTTCTGGTTTTAGAGTCCTTATATAGTCAAAATATATTCGACAGAAATTCTATCGATTATGTTTCAAATTTAATTAGTCGAGAGATTTAATTTTTTTGGGTTGAATGGGCAGGATTTGAGTATAATCGACAGAGTAATTTGCTGTCGATTATAGGCTCTGTTTTTATTTATTTATTTATTTAAACTAATGTGCTATTTCTTTAAATTTATGTTCAGTAAGTTTTAATTATCCTATCAAAAGGTTTGGTTTATCTAGTTCTCCCCCTTTTTTTTGGGTATTTTTTGCTTAGTTTTTTTTTAATGATTATTCTGTAAAATTTTTGGTTTTAAAGTTACAAAGAATCAATTTTTTTAGGGGTTGCACTACTAGACATTTGATATTTTGTTATTATATATACAAAAAATATATATAATATTAATAAAAAAATAATCTAATATTTGATAATGTTAAATTTTTATTATCAAATTGATAATTTATAAAATATGTAATACTTATAAATGGTACTGATGAAAGGTTAAATATTAACATATATATATTTATAAAATTTTGACATAAGTATAATCGACAACCAATGACTGTCAAATATGAGTGTAAAAATTTTATAAATATATATGTTAGTATTTAATCTTCCACTAGTAACATTTTTATATATTATATATCTCGTAAACAATAAATTTAGTAATTAAAATTTAATATTGTCAAATGTTAGATTATTTTTAATTAATATTATACATATATTGACTTTGATTAAATTATCAATTCTAACATTACATATTTATAGTTAATTTTGTTATTATATATACATAAAATATATATAATATTAATAAAA